CATCGAGGCAAAAACATCGCGGACGAAAACGTCGCGGAGAAAACAACGCAAGGCGAAAACGTCGTGCTACAAAACATCGTGGGAGAAAACATCGCAAAGAGAAAACATCGCAGTTCTAAAACATCGTGGTACAAAACATCGTCGTCGAAAATAAAGCGGTTCAAAAACTTCGCAGTTTAAAAGCATCGTCGTCGAAAATATCGTGGTAAAAAATAAAGTATCTACAAATCATCGCATGACGATAACATCGCAGACATGCTTTTTTCAGGCTTTAATAACTGTAAATGGATATTCCCATAATGATTTGTGAGCGCAAGATGTAAAGAAGGATAATTTTTATTTTCATATTTTTATTAAATATTAAATTTTTGCTGAGAAAATAAGAAGGAAACTTAAGCATAGAAAATGAATGCAACTTATAGCACTTAATAGAATTTTAAACCGACATAGTTAACTAACAAAGACCATTAATAAATCATTTTTTATAAAGTTTTTACAGGTAATTTTTCATAAAAAGTATAATCTATTAAGTTGCATTTAATTTTCTATGCTTAAGTTTCCTTCTTATTTTTTTAGCAAAAATTTATTAGTTAATAAAAAAATGTGAAAGTAAAAATTATCCTTCCTTACATTACTTGCGCTCACAATCATTATGGGAATATCCATTTACAGTTATTAAAGCCTGAAAAAAGCATGTCTGCGATGTTATCGTCATGCGATGATTTGTAGATACTTTATTTTTTACCACGATATTTTCGACGACGATGCTTTTAAACTGCGAAGTTTTTGAACCGCTTTATTTTCGACGACGATGTTTTGTACCACGATGTTTTAGAACTGCGATGTTTTCTCTTTGCGATGTTTTCTCCCACGATGTTTTGTAGCACGACGTTTTCGCCTTGCGTTGTTTTCTCCGCGACGTTTTCGTCCGCGATGTTTTTGCCGCGATGTTTTCGGCTGTAACCAAAATTGAAACTTAAAAATATGAAATTTCTTGTATTTATTAAAGTATAATGATCATTTTTCTGAGTTTTACGGGCACCATACAAAATATTCAGTACATACAGAGCCCTCCATCAGCAGTGTGCAGATTGCTTCATAAATTTCTCTATCTTATTTTATAAATAACTCCTTAAAATTCATTAGATTTTAGGCACAGAAGACATAGAAAATCCTGTCACCGGGACTTGAATCGCGTATCTTCAAATTGCTTATTGGACATTCTGGCTTGTTACACCATGAAAACATTCATACGAAATTTGGCTATTTTCTTACTCTTAAAAGGCTATTGGGAAGAGGCACGAGACACTGTCGAACAAATCCAGATGGTTACCAGTTTTCGTCTACTACAATTCGGTTCCGGTACCAGTGACTTAATGTTAGGATTTTACGTGTAGAAATATGAAAAATCAGCTGTAACTTCTTAGCAATTTGAAACACGAGTCTTTCAGTTGTAGGAGGAACGTGCTGACCATTTATACAATGACAGCAAGCAAGGAGAAATGCAACAATTTTACTTTTGCAGTTGGAAGTCGAAGTGCAGGGTTAATATATAAGAAAATAAAAGATTATCTTCTCCGAACAGTCTTTATGTGGAATATTTCCTAAAATTTGTTGTATTAAAATTCCATAAAAAGTAAAGAAGGGATCCAAAAAAAAAAAATTTCTTTTTTAGAAAAAGTAGACAGGGGATTGAAATATGGATATTTCAACCTTCTATAAATTTTATTTCTTCAAGAAAAAAGGTCAGTTTTTAATTTCGATTCTTGCCCGATCTTGACAGGATCATATCTGAGCAATGCTCGGGACAAGGAAGGTGGATTCCCTACCCGCCAAGATTACTGAATCTTGCCTCTCGGCATTTTTCTGTGTGTGTGGGGGGGGGATGAGAAGGGTCGTAAAAGTCTCATTCTGGGTAATTAAAGTAGACATCCTAAAGAACCTGAAACGTCCTATTTCTACTAGCGTATCGTCAGGTACCTCTGACACGCTTTAGAGAATCGGAGATCGACTTCACATACCTCGCGTTTAAGGAACGTAACTAAAAGTGTACTGATATTTTAAAAGAACTTTTGAGTGCTTTTCTCATTTGTACAGTTTTGCAAACTGCGCGTCTTTTTTTATGTTGCAATTACAACCAGATCCAGGTTAAAGAATTGCTCAGGACCGACGACAGCATTAGTTTTAAGTCCTAGGTAAAATGAAAGATATTTTACAAATAAATGTAACGGTAAAACACTTAAAGATTTATTTTTATTCATAAAGCTTTATTTAAAAGACAAATCTGTAATTAGAACATTTATCTGGCTGTAAGATTTTATTTGTTAATGTTCTATTACATTTCGGAAAGCGTTATTTACTGCACCTTTTATTTTCTACACATTGATGTTCATTACAAAATTTTTGCAGTCTCTTGATTTTATCAAGCGTATGGATGGCATATTGACAGCTATAAAAATGCACACAGCGGTAATATCAAAATGAAATTAATTACAGCAGAAGACAAAATTTTACATACTAGTCGATCATTTAAATAGAAATGAAAGTGTATGCGAGTGAAAATTTGCTTAGCTAGGGAAAAGCTTAGCTGAGTACACAAGTTTTTCATAATCTACGTTAAGTTGTGGGTGTGGCAAAATTTCGTCCAACATAATTGGCCGTAACTATTTGTGAACATCTAAGTGGTAGGGGTCTGGTTGACTCATCAACATGTCCGTTATGTGACCTGGATCACGTTAAAAATCCCTACATTTGCTTCAGATATTATATATGATAATTTAAATATTAATCCTGCAAAGCATGTTGATTATTTTACTGCTTCTAGATTTTTTAACTTTTCTTGAATACCCAAAAGTTAGTTTATATTATCTGAATGTGGCTAAGCAAAGTTCAAGAAGGTTATTTAGCGAAAGTTAAATTTACCTTCGTGGAGAAATTTTTAAAGGAAACCGGTTTGTATTCATGTTACACTGGGGAAAACCACGAAACCTCCATGCAGACAATATATTCCCCCGAGTTTGAACTCGCCTCGAACTACTAGCATTCAGCAGCCGTAACCACTCGGCTACTGGTGTGGAAGGCTGTCTCATGACGACTAATCACTAAAAACCCGAGGGCCGACATAAAATCAAAATCTGGCGATCTAGGTAGAAATTCTGACGAACGCTCTTGCTGCATGGACATTTTCTTAGTTCCCTTATGAGATCATGATATGAATATATACTTTATCATTCCTTATGATATGATGACATGAATATGATGCAGTTGCCCTTAAAAATTTCTCCATGAAGGCATACTTCCCCTTACTCAGATAGTCCTGTTGTGTTTTATTATAATCTAATAAATCCCAAAGACAGACAATAACTGCGCAATAGACGTCTATGTAATAGGCAAAAGACAGCTCATATTAATGAAGTGAAATCATCTTAATAAAGCTGAACAGATACTCAACTTTTTGAGAAATGGGAAAGAAGTAATGCTTGAGGTCTCTTTCCCGCTAGTAAACGTCTGAGACAGAAAAAAAAAAAATATTAAGAACAGAACATGCGGACATGGAAGCATAAATGCACACCGAATTCTGTTTCAGTCGTTTTTCATTTATGATGCTAAGAAGTGAACTCTCTTAGACAGATAATAGCTGAATCTGGAATACCTTTTTGTATAAAATCTCATTGTCACTTCTGTATTAAAATAAATGCAAACTGTATTTCTTTTATTTTCAAAATAGTATGTACTTTTTGCAGCACCATGAGATTGTATTTTCAAACTCAGTCATGAACTTTTATTAATCATCTCACGACTAGCCCATTGAGGATCTTGAAGAATTTTCTTGTTTTCTAAACCGAAATCTTAAATTAGACACAATTTTTGCAACATGTTAAAAATTCGAGATTGTTTAATAACAGAATGAAAAGCATTTCAGTTACTGGATTCTACGAAAAAATCCGGAAGTCTGTATAATGTTTGAATATTAAAAGGAATACCTGTAAAATATTAAACGGTCACAAAGTTTACCTTTTTTTCGGAGGAGAAAGAAGAACTATTCACGTTACAACTTTTTTCTTTTGTTGCTAATTTAATCCCAAAATTTTATAGATGTATATAAATACGAATTTTATTTATGTCAAAGTGCGTCTATAAAGACAATCAGAAATGCCATAATTTAATTAACAAAAATTAACTGTTTGACTACGTTTGATTGATAAAGGACATCACGCTGATTCTTAATTTTATTCTTTAACCTGAAATTAGACTGCAATGCTTTTACTAATGCAGCAGTACATTCAATAATATGTATGTTACCGGCAATGAGTTAAACCTGGCATTCTATGAAATACCTAGACATTTTACAGAATGTCAAAAAGGCAGTGCCTGGTCGGCAGTGTATTTTCCTTCCTAGGCATTCTGCAGAATGCTAAATGACAAATCGGCAAAGTATAAAATATATCTCCGAGTAGTTTCGAATATCCATACATTCAATACATTCATATAGAATCCAAATATTTAATACATTCATATATAATCCCTACATTTAATATATTTTTGCCTAATTCTATACATTTTATACATTTTCATTCATTGTTTTCGTTATAAGACATAAATTTTGTTTTACACGCCTTTCATTTTTCTTTAAGTATTTTGAATAAAAGTTTTTTAATGGCACATTTCTATTATTTTTTAAAAATAATGCTTATATTTTTGAGAAATTCGTGTCTTCCAAATAATAGTCTTATCATGATGTTTTTTCATTCTTAGCCTAAATATCATTTGGCATCCTGTAGAATGCCTAAATATTGTATATAATGTCTAAATAACACTCATATTTCATATTTTATCTATAATTACCAGGCATGATATAAAAAATATTTTTAATATGATATAAAATAAATACCAGGCATGATATAAAATGTATTCTATAGAATGCCGGCGTTTCATATATTGCTGGTAACAAATACAGTACATCGTTTGGTTAGTATCAAATAGAGAATTCATTTACTCACCTGAAATCCATATCGAACTGCAGATATTTGTGCATGATGGTAAGAATCGGATATTGGGGCCCCAGAAGATCTACTACCAGAATCCCCTGCAGAACTCCAAGCATTGGGATTTGTCGTCCCTGGAAGCTGAACGCCGCTTTGGTGGAGGGCCATCATGGGGCGGGAGGTAGGGATGAACATAGAACCAGGGTGTAAGTATCCATCTTGATAGGCGGGCATATGGATTGATGACATGTTTTGGAACATCGTTGTTCCTGGGGCCCGCTCTGTCCTGGGATAATCAATACCTAGCGTCATTCACGGGTGTGTATGGCAGCTTCCTTGTTGAAAGTTTTGAGGACAAGTCAAGCAAGTTCAGTTAAGTTCAAGAAAGTTCAAGATTGCACTTGAATTTGTTGAAAAAGGTTTATTTCAGAAGCAATGTTGTTCAAGAAATAGTTTTGAGACTGACTGTTCATAAGAGTAAATCAAAGAACTGACTAATAACTGATGTTCAATCAAAGGAAATAAGTCACAAAGAATGCTTAATCCTAGTGCTCTTAAAAGCAGTAAATATAATCAATATATTTTAATGTGGAATTCTCAATATCTGAAATTTATGATGTCATTTAAGTACTCTTGATTCAAGAAAAGTTCGCTTCAAAATTCTGCTTCAAAATATTTTTACAAATTATTACATGTTTTTTTTTTTTTTTTTTTTTTTTTTTTTTCTTATTTCTAAATTCTTAGCAAAATTATAACTCTAAGAGCAATCAAAAACTAGGCAATACGACTTGAAAAACTCATATTATTGAACTGCATTTTTAGACATTTTCAGTTCTTAGGATTAATATATTATAATATTGCATTTAAACTGTATTACTAAAAAATGTCACATTTTTAACAAAATTCTGTGGAGAAATTTTAATTTTTTACATCAAAAAAATTTTCACATCTTCATCTTTTCCAGAAAAATTTTCCCAGATTGTAAAACGGGTAAAATATCAATATTCAGTAAAAGATATGAAGGAATATATCGGGAAATTCAAAACAATATCGGAGTGAAATATAAGGAAAAAAATCATGAATTCTTTTCTATAACTTTAAGTCAGCATGAATCAGTATTTCTTGTTCAAATGCTCTCAAAAACAGTGAAAAAATTATTACTAGTAAATTTTCTGGGAAATGATTTCGATGAAAATATGCTGTAGACTTTCTTATATGCAAATCCTAATGATACATAATCAAATCTCAATGAACATTTCTCAGAAACTGGCATCGATATCAGAAGTATGATAATTTAGATGAAATAGTATAATGTTTCGCAATCCTTTCAACGCTTTGACAGGAATAAGATGATAAATAGCACAACTAGGTTTTTATCACTTTACAACATTTAATCAGGCACCAGATAAAATGTTGATATGCGTCGTCATTTGGTAAGGCACAGTCAAGCTTTTTCGCATAGATCATCAGAAATGGGACAAGATTTATTTTCAATGGCGGTAAATCTCCCGTATTGTTCTGTCGATAAGAAGTACCACGGGAGATGGTAGTGCTCTTGCTCGGCTCATCAAAAGGAATTAACCATGCATCTAGTGTTACTAAGATGAAATCCTGTAACCATTGAAATTGGACATAGTCCTCTGCATTCAAATACGCGTTTGGTCATGCACTACTGCGTGAATGATCTATGACTCTATTGGCAGCTTCTCAGGAGTCCGTAATGGCGAAAGTAAGTATTCCCGTCACGTGTCCTCGTCACGCGTGAGCTGCAAAAGGAACCGCTGCCGTTTCTGCCACTTAAAGACCAACTTCGTCTTCAGAGCTACCAGAATCCTCTTCTCGCCATCTGCGAGCTCATGGCCTTTCTATCATCTCGCAGACGCCTTCCATGAAATTTGAGAACCTGAAAAATTAAAAAAAAAATTCTTCTAAAAATCCGGAAAACGAATACAAATGAGACAAGAAAAACGGATAAGTTTTTATCGTGATTTCTCAATTTTTACAACGAATTTCTAGATGCGTATCTTGGTCTCAATTGCCCTTTATTATATAAAAATCTCTCTCTCTTTTTTTCTTTTTTGGACAAGATATATACAGCTATTTGCTCATAAGAGTGCTCGACCGAGCGTTAAGCTATCGTATTCAATTTCTGTCCTCCATGCATGTATTCAAATTTTAAACTTTTTCCCTCAGCTAAATTGCAGCATATGTTTTATTGAGTGTTATTTATGTGAGAAAGTAAATATGTTCTGTACCGACATTTATATTTCTAAGTAATACTTTATTTTGTCATTCACAGTGTCATCTCGTTCATCTTAAATGAGTGGACGAAACGCCAAATCCATTACATGACTTTCTTTTTGATGCTTTCTTTCCGTTGCACCAAATAATGCATGGGAAGACGAGTAGTACGTAAATGGGTAAACTGATCTGGCATAAAATATGTAAAATACTGTAAATTAAACAAAACTTTTTTATGAAATACTTATTACATTTAGTACTATTTCATATTACGAGGCTATAACTTGATAAAAGTGGAATAATATTGTCCTTTAGCAACATTTATCCATGTAAAACAACTGAGGAAGAATTTTAATGTTTATAAAAAATCTTTTGTATGTATTTTATCGTTTTTAGTCTTAATCTGCCTAAACTGGCATTTGTTAGACAATTCAACTTGTTTCTGAAAAACATACATTAAAAATTCATAGTTAGGGAAAAGAAATATGCCTTCCGGAATACACAAATTAAAGATTTCATATACACTGTGAAAAAACGATTAATTAAACATAGGTGATTTTTAATTTTATCTGTTAGTTGTGACTAACAGATAAAATTAATTAAGCTTAGCAAACGCTTAATTAAGCTTAGCAAACGTTAAGAGTATTCATGCATCATTCAAACTCCCTCAGTCATATGATTTTACGGCATAAGTTTTTATTAACAAATACGCTTTTTCCCATTCAGACTGTTTATCGCATTTCCTCAAAACAAGCCTGTTAATTATTATTATATCTGATAAACGGGTTACATAGATAAATTTTTTTATTACTTTTATTTTAAAACTGTCATCTAGTGCAGAGTTTCTTAAACTGTGGGTCGCGACTCACATGGAGAACCTGCAGCAGACGGTCGCCAAAAATTTTAATAGTTTTGATATTTCTTTAACTTATTATAATAATTTTACAATTACCAAATATTTTTACACAAAGTATCTGAAAATAGATAAAGATAAGACAATACGGACAAAGAAAAAACGAAAACGTTTCGTCTGTTACTTATTTAAAATTTTCACAATGTTTTATGTCTTAAAATTAGAAATTAAAGTTAATGACCTAAAACTGCAATAGTGCATTACAGTACAAGTGAAAAAATTGGTTTCACTCACGCGTGTGTCGGATTTGCGCAATGCTTCATGGGGTTCCACAAAATTTTCGTAAATGTTATGGGGTCCAAGGGTCGCGATAAAAGTCTCTGTGATAAAAAGGGGCCACGACTGAAAAAAGTTTAAGAAGCCCTGATAGGGCATCTTCTGTGCCTTTCAGATTTATTCTTTGTAACTTATTCAGTTGCTACAACTGTACATTTTTCATACTTCTTTTCGTTCAATCTGTTAAAATCAGCACGATGTCCAGACGGGAAAGTGGTTAGTGACACTGACTGCCGTACCGAAGGGCCCGGGTTCGGATCTGATCAAAGTCGAAATGTCACCTGTGTGGTTGTAGAGACATTAGTTAATTTCGAAACAAGAGAGATGAAAAATGAGCAATGCCCTCGTCGGTACTCGAACCGGGAGCCTCTCGAATTCGCGTCGAGCGTGCCGACCATTACACTACGAAGGCATGCCAAGAAAGTAGGAGAAATACCTTATATGGTGCTCAAGGTTCTTGCCAACGACAAACACATTCTTACGCCTTGCCAACATAAATTCGTCGGCTTATTCTGATTAGGTCAGACTAGAGAGAGTAGTCTCGACAATAACAAGAAAATCAGCGTTATAAAAAGGACTAAACTATTTTAATTGTTTGTTCATTTTATTTAAAATTCTTTTAACTAGTTACTTTACACATATATTCCCACTACGTTTAAAAATATCAAACTCATCTGCTACATTTAGAAATTCAGAAATCCTTTCCTTTTTAGCTTATAATACAGTAATTTATTTTTTATGTTCCTATTCTTCCTACCTTCTATATTTCCTTATTGTTTAAAAAAACTCAGAATAAACGCTTTGCTCAAGAAACTTGCATTACTTCAAAATCTAATAGAAATTTCTTATTCTATCTTGTTCGCTTCAGTACGAAATATGTTGAAAATTTAAAGCTTTCATCGCCCATCTTGTACATTTAAGATAATTCTGAACAATTTATTCAATTAATCCTCTGTTTTATGCTCATTTCTTTTCTTATAAATTTCAATAAATACATACTTCTTGCGGATTACGATCTACGTCAAACATAGAAAAAGCACTAAACTTCCCTTGTGATACCCGATTAACTTTACCTTATTAATATGCGAATCAGGAAGTCTAGTTTTTTATTTGGTTCAGCAACTGGTGATATCTAAACACGAAGAGCTAAAAGTAAAAAAGCAGATACATATATAACGCGAGCATTTACAGAGGTTCTTCGTATATATATATATATATATTTATATGGTATTAAAAAAGGCATTTTTAATTGGTTTTTCATTAGTTCGGGAACTATTTGCGGTCTCTTGTGATTTACGGAGAGACTGGAAAATTGACTGCAATGTGTTATAAATAAAATTTTTGTGAACACATTTTATGTATAAAGTTTAAATAATTCTGGTGTTATAAAAACTCTTACTATGTATCTGGCGTTGCATCTGTTTTTACTGTATCAATATTCGGGGCTGTGCGATATATATGTGTTATATGCACTGTATACTTATTTGCACAAATCATTATTATGCACTTACCTATTATAAAACATTTGCAGAAGGCAAAAGTATCTAAAGTTAATAGATTCTATTCAAAGAATTTCGATGTTTCATATGATTTTGTTTTGAATTAATTTTATAGTTTTGGTCGATCAGAAATAAGTAAGAAAAATTCGAAACTTATCGATAATTAAAACGAAATCATGATAAATATCAACATTATATTTCTTATGATATTAAAACTTACTTTTTGATGGGCAAATAATGAGCAAAAGCATGCTAGTGTGAAAGTTATTTTATGGGTGAATTGCAGAGTCATTTTTTGTGGTGAATACTAAACTAAATGTTTATTAACTATTTGTTCTCGCCATTTCGAAGAGAATGCCTCCTTCGCGTAACAGTTGTCCTGGTGTTTGAAAACCTCTGTACCAAACATTCTGTTTCACATCAAAAACAGAAATCATTTTAAAATAAATTAATCGTCACATATATTTGAAAGAAACAGAATTTTGAACCAGGATACTCCAAATATGAGTGTTTCGAAAATTAGGTTATGCTGTTTGAAGATGACAAAACCACGAGGGCTATCTGCCTAAGAGGGGGAATGTCTTCGTGAAGGACTTTCTGAGGAAAACTAGCCCCTATTTATGTTAGACATGGGGAAAACCACAAAAACCAATTACGCAATCAGCTCTTTCGCCTGGGATCGGTCCCACCCAAGTTCAACTATCAATATTCACAGTCCTAACCACTGAGCGACTAGTAACACGAGTTTCGAAAATATGTTATAAACACTCCAAAACATTAAATTAACAAAATAATCAAGTTCTTTTTGGACTAGGCAAAGGTATTCATGAATAATAATTGTTACGAAGCAAGTCCTCGTATTAATGTATATTTCTATCGAAAGTAATAACTGTATGCAAAATTTTGAGAAGGTACTTCGAAAACCCTGCAGGGAACACTCTACGTTGGGTCAATAGCATCACCAGACAATAACTGTATTACACAGTTGGTAAAATTTTCGTTCCTCTATTCTTGCTCCTGTCCTATCCTGTAGAAGAGTGTATTGTTATCGTAGCAACAACAGCCACTGATCATTTGACTATCCATTCCGTAGCGGCTACAACTTTTATAAAATATATAAAAAGTTATTGAAAATTCCTTAGTTTTTCAAAAGAAACAACCAAAAAATTTCAACAGCACGTTTCTGAATTATATCTACAAAGTTAAAATAAAATGTCAATTTCGATAATTTAATTAAAATTACCAACGCTTAAAAACGCAACAAAGTATCTATTTTTTTTTACCCTTCATAAATTTAACTAACCATCAACAGACCATTTAGATGTAATTCAAAAAGTGTCTTTGGTGAAAATTCTTTTGCTGTTTCTTGAAAAAGATCAAAGAATTTTCAACAATTTTTTATACATTTCATAACAATTTTATTGAACAGTTTTAAGACTTTTATTGCATTATTTTTGTTTCAATTTTAAAATGTTTCTATTTTAATTTTAATTTGGATCATTCCTGCTGGAAAGGTGTCTTTCTTTTCTGATTTAATTTAGACTTAATAATTATACCTTGATTATTTAATTAGTTTTCTCGCATGCTGCGCGATTTTAATGATATATATCATTTTAATTTGAAATTTATAAATTTTTGCTTATATATATAGCTTATATGTGTGTATGTGTGTTATATAGAGAAATAAGTAAAAATATAAATTGTTAAAACTTGTCGGAAATGTTGTTGAGATATCTTCTAAGAATTATCTTTTCAGGATAACACAAATTCATTACATCAGTATCATTCAATATCTATCCTTTGCAAAATGATTGCGTTACTTTAAATACACGTTATAAGCTCATGATACGATAATTACATAAAACCCGTAAGAAATTTATTGTTTAAGCCTTAATTTTAATAATGTGGATTCGCTAACCAGCGATTGCTATGTGATTTCTATCAAGAACAATCGCAACAGCTGGTATCACAGC